GACATTTTGGTGAAAAAAGAAGTCTGCATATTAAATAGTCATAAAATATATACACCCCAAGTGGCGGGAAAATGAAAAGGGTAGCCGCCTGTGAAGGAAGACTTCATTCAAATTATCTGAGAAGCAGTGTGGAGCAGCAATAGCTTGGTTACAAAGTGAAAGCATGGTGGTGCAATGCTCAACCTAGGCCTTTACTACAGTGATAAGTAAGCTAGAATCGCTTGTTAATTGCTGTTAGTGTTAACTAAATGTTAAGCAGATAGTTTAGTGGTTCAATGAGTAAAAGCAAGGGAATGCTTAGTAGTTTTGGGGATATGGAAAAATTCTTTGAATCATGAGTATTGGATCATAAGTATGATTGAAGATCTTTCAAGGAGCAACATCGTGTATTGTGGTGGCATTTAAGTTGCAAGTCGTCTGGTAAAGAACCCTTTGAGAGAGCGCTACAAGAAGAAGAAATTATGTTTGTAAGCTGAAGAAGTGAGTAAGTAAGACCACAAGACCTTACTTAGTGGATGTGGATGATCGAGTTTAACCAACTCTCATAGTGGAAATGGAATGTGGCGAAGTTTCCTATTGAATTTCATTGAAATGCAAAGTTATCAAGATGTAACAATGAGTTGTAGCAAAGTGTTAGTGCATCATGAATATATGTGAGTTTGTTTATGACATTATTAGAATAAAGACTAGTTGGTTGGAATAAAGTGAGACCCTTCAAAGGGAAGTTAAAACGAATGTGGGGGAAAAAGAGGCCACAAAAGTAAGGACCGAAGAACTGGAATTGATGCGAGAAATATATAAGTAAGTAGAACTGGCCTAGGATGGTCAGGGAGAGAGTTAAAGAGACCAAATAAAAATGATACAAGGACCTAGCCAAGGTGGTGTATCCGTACGTTAAAGTATGTAAGATATCTTCGAGTCGAAGCTGTAGCTAATAGAAGTTAGTCATCAAAAGTTCCAAGTCTTGTGCTATTAATGTCTAGAGGTTAAGTCTGAAACCAAGTGGGAGAGAAACCATTTGGGACAGAAGCAGTTTCTCGAATTCGAAGACGAATTCATTTCAAGTGGGAGAGAATTGTAACACCCCACTCCCTATTTTCTCTTGGGGCCCATTTTTTTTTTAATTGAAGCCCAATAATTCCCAAGTAGAAGCATGAGAAACGATAAGGGTTTTGGAGTTATGAGCGTTTGTTACTTTAAGCCGTCGTCACTATCGTCGTTGTGCAAGACGAGAGAATAAGAAGAAGAGAGAAAGAGAAAGCTAATTAAGAAAAACAAAGCGTTCAACAGAGGTCATGGGTGATGAAAGAGAAAAAGTGGAGTGACGAAGAGATGAGCCACGATGATGTCGGTGGCTGAGTGAGTTACCTCAATGGTGGTATGGTCATGGCAGAGCTTTGATTGCGGAGTGATCATCAGAAGCTGATTAGTGTAGAGGAGGAAGAAATTAGAGAGGACAACGAAGAAGGAGAGATGGAGAAAAAGAAGACATGGAGGGAGTAGATCGGAGAAGTTGGGGAAGAGAACACCACCACGAAAGAGAACAATGGAAAAGCAATATCTAGTTCGTGACGGTAAACAGAAGAAGAAACGAATCAGACCCGAGCAGTTCCGAAAGGCAAAAGCTGAGTTCAAGCAAATCATATTGAAGAAGAAGATAGTGTGATCGAGGCAACTTTGGAGGCATGTTGGTGGCTGTGGAAACGCCGGTTAAGTGCAGCAAATGTACCAAAGTGTTCACCATCAAACCAAGATTCCAAAGCTGTCAAGTCGGAACCCTAATTCTACCGGAGGTATCGCGTGCAGAGCTTGCTTTCCAGTCAAGAAACGCCTAAGAAACTTGCAGTCTATATCCATGAATTGCAGTGGGCATGTTGCCTATTTTGGAGGAAGATTACGCCCAAACTAGAAGGACCCAGACAACGATTGAGCTGTCTCTGGAAAGAGCTTGCTTCAGAGAATTTATAGTATACAACAGTTCATCAATAGGAGTTATAAGTCATTTGAAAGTTGATCTGAAAGTTAGCCTAAAACCAAGCAGGGTCAGAGATTTGCAGAAAAAACAATTTCGCAGCAGTGTTTTCAAGGCATCGTTGGAGGGTTAAACAAAGCCCGATTGAGCTGATATTTGGTTCCCTTCAAGGTGGTATAGTGGACTCCATATTCAACGGTGGGATTGAGAAGTCAACGTTCAGTTTGTTATTTATAGATGTCTTTCTGAGCTAGTTGATGCAGTATAAAACAATGTTATATGTCTAAGGAGTTGCAATGTTTGGATGGACAAACAAGCTCGGTTTAAACTGAAACTTTGCTGGAGTATTCTAAACTTGTGGAGATAGTTCTGGGTAGAAGGAAAACCAATTTGAGTATAAAGAGCATGGGGAAACGTGTGCTTGAAGTCTTAGAAGAGAAACCGTCCAAAGAGTAAAGAAAGAGAAAGTACTCATCAGCAAGTGGCAAAGGTGAGGGTTGTGATCTGTGGAAACAAAATTCACATTACTTCCATTATTTTACATGAGTCATTATGTATAATCTTAGATCTGATTGTTAGACTTAGTTTCATAATGACATGCATTAGGATATGATATGATATGTGATGATAGCATGTAGGATGATTGATGATAGCATGTAGGATGATTAATGGAAACGTTATGTGATAACCTTATGAGGTTATGAGTTATGTTATGATATGTTATGTATGGCTGACGAGCCCGGAATGGGAGTGTCTGAGCACGAGGCCAGCCTCCAAAGTATGGGGTTTTAAGGCTATCAGAAGGACAGTGCCGTCTACGGGACGTATAAACCTCCAGTGTATAAAAATCTTGCTTCATTCGCAAGATTATTGAAATGTGTTATAGCTTGATTAGTTAATCCGGCTATATGTTTGCTAGTGTCTAGGATTATATGTTTTGATGAGTGTCAAATATTCGTAGAAATGTTAGTTATGTTTCAGTGGGCAGAGATGATCTCCCTCATTGAGTAATTCATTACTCACCCCTTTTCCCTTTTTCCATTTCAGTTGTTCAGGTTTATTAAAATTAGCATGTGAGACAAATGGCTCAATGGGTTAAGTTTTCAGAAGAAGTTTTCAAGAGGTACAAGATGTCTCGGCGAAGTTAGCTGAGTCGAGGCATCACAGGAAAACTCGCAAAGCATGAGATTTTAGCTTTATTTACATAAAAGGCCGGCTTAGTTTAATATGGACCCTAAGATTAGGAATTATTTTGGACCTCTAAATTTTATTTTTGTAAGTTTTACTTAGTATTTTTGTTTTTTAAATGTTTTTGTGTATAAATTTAATAGATTGTTTTTATGAATACATCGATTTGTACGTATTAAAAAACTTATGGACCGTTTTATTCTAAATATTCATATAATTTCTTTAAAAAAGATTTTCTAGAAAAAATTCGTCCCATTAATTAATGGAACATAATGTTGGGTGATGGGACGTCACACTACGTGTCCCCTTAAGTAAGCCTCACTGACTACAGATGTACGTTTTAACCGGACTTTGAAAATCCCACGTTTTGGTTTCTCACCAATGATCAATATTCCTCTTTAATTTCTTGTCCATAAAGAGGTATTAGAATAGTGATATTATCAATTCAACATCTTTGGGTTATATATTACGAATCACAATACTGATTATCAACACTTTACTCATGGTCTTATTTTCTTAAAGGTATAGTGTTCATGAAAGGAATATAAGTATATAAATCAGTTATCAACAGTCTAAGTTTGTTTGCGGGAGTATATGGTCAAGTGATTTTAACAATCTGAGCAATGACATTGCTATCACCAAGTTATTGTATTAGCTTTTTTCTCTCATTTTCTTGTAAAGCTATTTTTATTGATATTTACTATGACCTTTGTAACCCTAAGTTGCTTGTATATTGTAGTAATTCATAAAACTCGGAGAAAAATGTCATTAGTGCTTTTGGAGTATGATTTGACAAAAAGTTGTCATTAGTGCTTGTGCTCTCAATCTTTGTGTTTTCAAGAATTGTTGTATAAGTATCCATTTAATTGTATATGTGCTTGATTTTTTAAAATTTTTTTGACAATTTTATAAGTAAAGTGGAAAAACTCTAGAATACCGGCCAGGTTATCTTAAGATCATGGTCCAAACCAGCCTTTTTAATCATAAACAATTTTTCCATTCCAATTAAGTAGAGTGTTGACGTTTTCAAATTTTATTGAAATATTTTAGATTATATTCTGCAAATCAAAACCTGAGGAATTTAGGATTTTTGACATCAGTTAATCTCGTATACATGGTCTATTACCGAATAAATTTCTCTTTTTTCAAGCATTTTGCGGTATGCGATCCACTAAGAGAAGCCATTCCAACAACAAAATGCTAAAATAGGAAAAAAGGTCTCACTTTAGATTCTACCTCTGTTTGAAAGGATGTGGATCCGAACATTAATAACACAACGTGTGGTAAGAAATTTTCTGGTTCCATATAAAAACTTGTAACTTTCATTTGATTTTATAGAATCATAATTAGTCTGTTCTAAGCAATCATTTTTCTAATACTTTGCAGTTATTTTAGAAGGCTCATGTCTGAATTCTTACAATTGTCATTTGTTTTGCTTTTGCTTATTTTAAATAATCCATTTATTCGGTTATAAAAATAATTAAATATTTTGTAAAATAAAAATAGATAAATGTATGTATTGATTGCATTCTCTATCAAAATAGTTATTATTCATTTTATGCATAACTAAACTGATTGTTCCCATAACACGTAAAATCAGAATCATAAATGTTTGCATATACCACAAGGGATGTTTAGTTAAACATTAAAAAAATGGTGATCATATATGTGAGCATATTAGAATACTACATATAGTAAAACCAAAAACTATCATAAAAATTTAACACATTATATCGCTAAACACAAGATCATGTAATTCTATTAAGTTTCTTATTAAGCAATGTTGAATAATTACTCTTTGGAAAATTTTTTCGTAACATCACTGAAAAACCGAAAGGAATTAAAATATTTTGACGCAAAACATTGTTCTCATCTCTAATCGGAGATTTTGCTTTCTTGATTTTTGTGAATATATCTTCACAAATTCTAGGTCCATCAAAAGCAGAAATCAGATACTCATTAGCTTTTTTGTAATCCTGTGATTTAACGTTCGTTAAAACTTTGTTTAAAGAACTATTTGCATCTTTATAAAGTTTGATGCAATCACGCAATGTTGCCTTATTACCAGGAGAAGTTTTCTTTTCATTGAGGATCGTTTTAGCGATTCTTTCCACGTTAATCATGTTGAATGCAGCATTCTTCGTTGATGCTATGACCAATCCTTTGATACATGTTGCATTTTTGCTATGAGGATTCGATTCAAGAGACTTGACGCAAAAATTGTACTTCATATTCCGATCTTTCGCTGCAGCTTTCTTGGAAGAATCTCGAATCAGAGTCTGTGAGCTTGTGAAACAATTTAAGAGGAGAAAGAACATAACAAAAGAAACAATGAATTTCATTTTTAATTTATTTTTTCTTTGGGAAGGAGAGAAATTAATAATCGATTGATGAAGTAAACATTTGATATAGTGATTCAATTAATAGTCAAACTGAAACAAAGAATTTCAGAGTAAGAATGCAAATTTAGTGTAACGGCTTTTCTCATTAAGGACGTAATTGTTCATTTTAATGAAATTATATCCTTTTTTGTTCATTCATCTCAAAACTATTTCCTTTTTAGTAAAAACAATCTATAAAATTGGTTCTAGCATACTCGATCTATACAATAAATATATAGAATCATAAAATATTCAATTTTAATGATTAGTATTCGCATGTTTCATGTTGACTAATTTATTTGTTCGATATAGGCCAACATGCAAATCTGGCCTTCCATATAGGCACATTAAATTTAGTCAACTCGTTTTAATGTGTTTCAAAATTTTAAGCATTTTGTGTAGGATCTTGATTCTTTTTCTATTTGTTTGATTTCAACCTTTTAACTAAACTAGAAGCATTGGGCTTTGATCCAAACCTGTAACACCGTCTTCTAATTCAGTAAGTTTGTCAAATAGTTGAGTGAATGAAATGTAAGACAATGATAAGAGATTTCCTAAAAACCCAACAAATAGCTATAAAGTAAGGGAAAATATATGCTCTCGTTTGATGATGTTACATATGTTTTAGCTTTGATTTAGCGAGATTGACACTATCTTTGTCAAGTGGATCATGTGTTACAGAAAAAAGTAAGTGATCAAAGTTAAATTTACCTTTTTTGGTAACATATAAAAAAGATTAAAAAGTTAAGGGACCATTTTGGATGACCTATAATTATTCCAACAGATGGTTATATTACATGGTGGTCGATCTTCAAGCAAGCTGTTGAAGCAACCGCAGGAAAACTCACAAAGCATGAGATTTTAGCTTTAATTACAGAAAAAGCCGGCTTAGTTTTAGTATGGACCCTAGGATTAGGAATTATTTTGGACCCCTAAATTTTATTTCTGTAAGTTTTACTTAATATTTTGGTCTTTTAAAGGTTTTTGTGTATAAATTTTATAGATTGTTTTTATGAATACATCGATATATACGTATTAAAAAAACTTATGGACCGTTTTATTCTAAATATTCATATAATTTCTTAAAAAAGGTTTTTTAGAAACAATTCGTCCCATTAATTAATGGAACATAATGTTGGGTGATGGGACGTCGCACTACGTGTCCCCTTAAGTAAGCCTCACTGACTACAGATGTACGTTTTAACCGGATTTTAGAAATCCCACATTTTGGTTTCTCACCAATGATCAATATTTCTCTTTAATTGCATGTCCATAAAATCATAAAATATTCAATTTTAATGATTAGTATTCGCATGTTTCATGTTGACTAATTTATTTGTTCGATATAGGCCAACATGCAAATCTGGCCTTCCATATAGGCACATTAAATTTAGTCAACTCGTTTTAATGTGTTTTAAAATTTCAAGCACTTTGTGTAGGATCTTGATCCTTTTCTATTTGTTTTATGTCAACCTTTTAACTAAACTAGAAGCGTTTGGCTTTGATCCAAACCTGTAACACCACCTTCCAAGTCAGTAAGTTTGTCAAATAGTTGAGTGAATGAAATGTAAGACAAGGATAAGAGATTTCCTAATAACCCAACGAATAGCTATAGAGTAAGGGAAAATATATGCTCTCGTTTAATGATGTTACTTATGTTTTAGCTTTTATTTAGCGAGATTGACTCTATCTTTGTCAAGTTGATCATGTGTTACAGAAAAAAAGTAAGTGATAAAAGATAAATTTACTTTTTTTGGTAACACATTAAAAAAGATAGAAAATTTAAGGGACCATTTAGGATGACCTATGATTATTCCAACAGATTGTTATATTACATGGTGGTCTATCTTCAAGCAAGCTGTTGAAGAAACTGGATGAAAACTCGCAAAGCATGAGATTTTAGCATTAATTACAGAAAAGGCCGGCTTAGTTTTTGTATGGACCCTAGGATTAGGAATTATTTTGGACCCCTAAATTTGATTTCTGTAAGTTTTACTTAATATTTTGGTCTTTTAGAGTTTTTTGTGTATAAATTTAATAGATTGTTTTTATGAATATATCGATATATACGTATTAAAAAAACTTATGGACCGTTTTATTTTAAATATTCATATAATTTCTTAAAAAAAGATTTTTTAGAAACAATTCGTCCCATTAATTAATAGAACATAATGTTGGGTGATGGGATGGCACACTACGTGTCCCCTTAAGTAAGCCTCATTTACTACAGATATACGTTTTAACCGGACTTTGGAAATCCCACGTTTTGGTTTCTCACCAACGATCAATATTCCTCTTTAATTGCATGTGCATAAAGAGGTATTAGAATAGTGATATTATCAATTCAACATCTTTGGGTTATATATTGTGAATCACAATACTGATTATAAACACTTTACTCATGGTCTTATTTTTTTAAAGGTACAGTGTACATGAAAGGAATATAAGTATATAAATCAGTTATCAACAGTCTGTTTGCGGGAGTATATGGTCAAGTGATTTTACCAATGTGAGCAATGATATTGCTATCACCAAGTTATTGTATTAGCTTGTTTCTCTCATTTTTTTGTAAAACTATTTTTATTGATATTTACTCAGACTTTTGTGACCCTAAGTGGCTTGTATATTATAGTTATTCATAAAACTCAGAGAGAAATATCATTAGTGCTTTTGGAGTATGATTTGACAAAAAGTTGTCATTAGTGCTTGTGCTCTCAATCTTTGTGTTTTCAAGAATTGTTGTATAAGTAGCCATTTAATTGTATATGTGCTTGATTTTTTTTAATTTTTTTGACAACTTTATAAGTAAAGTAGAAAAACTCTAGAATAGTGGCCAGGTTATCTTAAGATCACGGTCCAAACCAACCTTTTTAATCATAAACAATTTTTCCATTCTAATTAAGCAGAGTGCTGACGTTTTCAAATTTTATTGAATTATTTTAGATTATATTCTGCAAATCAAAACCTGAGAAAATTGGGATTTTCGACATCAGTTAATCTTGTATACATAGTCTATTATCGAATAAATTTCTTTTTTTTTCAAGTATTTTGGAGTATGCGATCCACTAAGTGAAGCCATTCCTTTGATACATGTTGCACTTTTGCTATGACCAATCCTTTGATACATGTTGCACTTTTGCTATGAGGATTCGATTCAAGAGACTTGACGCAAAAATCGTAGTTTATATTTCGATCTTTCGCTGCAGCTTTCCTGCAAAAATCTCAAATTAGAGTTTGTGAGTTTGCGAAACAATTTAAGAAGAGAAACAACTTAACAAAAGAAACAAAGAATTTCATTTTTAATTTATTTTTTCTTTGGGAAGGAGAGAAAGCAATAATCGATTGATGAACTAAACTTTTGATATAGGGATTCAATTTATAGTAAAACTGAAACAAAAAAAATCAGAGTAAGAATACAAATTTAGTGTAACGGCTTTTCTCATTATGGTCGTAATTGTTCATTTTAATTAAATTATATCTTTTTTGTTCGTTCATCTCAAATCTATTTCCTTTTTAAGATATATAAATCATTGTTTCTAGCATACTCGATCTATACAATAAATATATAGAATCATAAAATATTCAATTTTATGATTAGTATTCGCATGTTTCATGTTGACTAATTTATTTATTCGATATAGGCCAACATGCAAATCTAGTCTTCCATATAGGCACATTAAATTTAGTCAACTCGTTTTAATGTGTTTCAAAATTTCAAGCATTTTGTGTAGGATCATGATTCCTTTTCTATTTGTTTAATGTCAACCTTTTAACTAAAGTAGAAGCGTTGGGTTTTGATCCAAACCTGTAACACCACCTTCCAATTCAGTAAGTTTGTCAAATAGTTGAGTGAATGAAATTTAAGACAAGGATAAGAGATTTCCTAAAAACCCAACAAATAACTATAGAGTAAAGGAAAATATATGCTCTCGTTTGATGATGTTACATATGTTTTAGCATTTATTTAGCGAGATTGACTCTATCTTTGTCAAGTTGACCATGTGTTACAATAAAAAAGTAAGTGATAAAAGAGAGATAGAAAAGTTAAGGGAGCATTTAGGATGACTGATATATCATGGTTTTTGCTGGTTTTTGACCATGATATAAGTCTTGTTTATAGAGTCTTTGCAGGTCTAGGTACGTTTGGAGCATAACCATGATTTTTGGAGCGTTTTTGAGCTATGTTGACGCTGATGCTGAAAAGACCAAGTCGGAGAGCTTTATGAAGCAGGGTGTCGATCGACACCCACCACTTGGTGTCGAACGACACCGGTCGTGGTCGCGAAGAGAGTGTAAAAACTCATTGGAAGAATTAGCAACTTGGCCCAGAAGTTTCCCACTATTTGCACTTTTGCCCCAGTTCGTGTTTAGACTTGTATTTAGATTTTCTAAGCCATTTTAGGCTATCATCTTGTTTTCATTGAGACTAAGAGAGAGATTAGATTGAGAGCTTTTGGGGAGACAAATCCATACTCTGTAGAGAAGAATTTCGAACCCCTTCATCTTTTACTCTATTTTTTAATGTAATTTTATTCAGTCATAATTTTTGTTTCACTTGCTATGTCTGAGTAATCTGCTAGTTAAGTTTTGGGTTATTCAAAGGTTGATAATGGATTGTTAGAACTACAAAACTGGAAGGATAAATCATTTGGTTCTTCATCTAGATTGCTTTAACACTGATTTTAAGATTGATCACCTAGAAATCAGATCTTAGGTTGTTTAATAGATATAGAAACATTGTTAATCACAAAAACATTGTTAATCACATTGTTAATTTGGATTAGCGATTTTGTGAACATATCGAACCTGAACCATAATGCTTGCTTACGTTGTTAGAATTTGCAAAGGAATTTGAAATTCTAGATTCTGATCATAGTTATTCTCTGCGACAGAAATCGATTGATTTTACATTCGTGTTTTCGAGTTCCAGAACGGTTTTAATAAATATTCTGTTCAGTCCGTAGTCTACGATTTATGTCAACCTGCGAATTTCCCATTGC